TAGAGTACGTCATGTTAGACTCGACATGTCTATATTATTAATAAAAGCCAGCTTCAATAATCCTTCTAAGGAAAGAGGGACCTAATTATTAGAGAACATAAATGACCACCTTTGTATTTGTAATATGAGATGATCATCATTATAGAGGTGAATTATTATATAACCTTTTACATTTGTTCAATCAATACAATTTAATCTCAATCATCCAATTAATTTGATTAATATGTAATTTCATAGAAGCTTTGATTATTTACTAGTAGAAAAGTATTGATCATAATTAATGAATCTTATTCATCTTCCATAAATATTTAAATTATAATAAATAAACTCTCATCATTTCCATAAATATCTCAATTTATTGAGTTGCATTAGTTGTACAAATATGATGGGTTGCATTTGAAACAAACTCTATATCTCTCTTTTCCATATATATATATATATATATATATATATATATATATATATATGGAAAAGAGACATGTTACATTTTCATCCCTCAGGTTTTATAGTTTTCTGAATTTTTTTCCATCAGTTTCATCTATTACAAGTTACTCCCTAGAGTATATAATTTCTTTTGGGTTACGTCCATTTGTGTAACGTGGTTCACATTTCGGCTGTTTAGCGCCCTCACGTGCATCGCAGATAAGAGTATTTTGTTCCGTTTCTCTCTCTATATGAATATCAAAAGAAAAACACACACACACACACATACATACATACATACATACATACACACACACATACATACATACATACATACATACATACATACATACATACATACATACATACATACATACATACATACATACATACATACATACATACATAATGTTACTCCAACCTCTCTCACCCTTTCGTCACTTTCACCATCATCTCACCCCCCACACACATAATGGCTCATAGCATTTATGGCTGCCATCTCCGACAACACTAACTTCTACTTCTTCATATCAACATCGATTCATGCTTCTTCACATCAACACGGTCTAAATTACATCCACTTGTACTGCGATAGAAGACCCCCCCCCCCCTTCCCCGTGGGACTGTAAACACCAAATTGCTAGACGGATCTTGTGCAATGACAGCGTAATCTACAATAGTTCAATGCAACAAGATCTCAAACAAACCTTGATCCCATTCAAGAAAGCATGAACCCGAATTTAGCGTGATTTCATTACATTTGTGTTTGATTTAACTGGTGGTGGTGATTGACGATTAAATCAATAATTAATCAACTAACAAATATTTCTTACCATCTACTCCTACATGTAATATATAAATTGTAAATTATCAATTAATGGGAGAGTTGAAATCCAAAAGAAATTGCAAAATTGGGTAGTAGTTTGTAATAAATGAAATTGAGGAAACAAAACCCATAAATTATGAAAACTCACGAAAGAGCATCTACAATAAATATGTTATATTTTTTATATTTAAAGATTTATATATATAGAGATGTTATTCTACACCCTTTGTCATTCCTACACCCTATACAACCCTCATCTCAACCATTCAATTTTTAATCAATTAATTGTTTCCTAATATAAAATATTAATCATAATTAATAAACTTTATTCATATTTCATAAATATTCAAATCATAATAAATGAACTCCAATCATTTCTATAAATATCTCAATTAATTGGGTTGCAAAGGTTGTACAAATGCACAAGGTTTAACGTAATTGTTAGAGCAATTTTTTTTCTAAATCATTAAAATTTATGAAATAACATAACTGTTAAACTCTAAAGGGGTGTTTGGTCTGATGAAATGGTTTTGAGAGATTTGAATTTCGTGGAAGAATTTAGAATCACATAGATTTGGATTTGGAAGAATTTGAAATTTTTGATGTGTTTGGTTTGTAGGATTTATAATAAAATTGAATGCTTATTTTCTTGTAAATAATTTATGAAAACAAATTATAAATAATTAAATTATATTTTATCAATTGCTTATTATAAAATAAATGTTTTCAACATATTTTAAAACATTATTAGATACAAATCCTATGAAATACCAACAATCTCTACGGGATTTCTAAATCTCCTGTTTGTGTGATTTCAAATCCAACCAATCATTCAAATCAAACATTATATTGTAATGAAATTGAATTTCAAATCCCTTCAAATCATATATAATCATACAAACCAAACAGATTTAAGAACATCTCCAACAAATTATCTGAAATAGAGATTTTGAAAAAAATTGCTCTAAAAAATGACTCTTTATAAAAAGGAAAATTTATTTTATTCTTTCAACCAATAAGAATCCTTAAAATTAAATGTATATACCGGAAAAATTAATTTATTGACTTATTCCGGTGTAGAACCGGTAATAAACACTTTTAAATGTTTGGATAAACATCTTATACCGATGTCAAACCGGTAATAAGAAATTTTTAAAAAAGTTAAATTATTCTAATTTATAATAAGTTAAATTATAATTCATTTATAATAATAAGCAACCCTAAACACCTGAATGATTATCTGTTTGAAAATGGCTTTTAAACGGTTAAAAAAAGGTGATTTGTGAACGTTGGAGAGGGTGTCAGCTCAGCTGTAAGACGACTTAATTTGCCACCCACTGACCCAAGCGTACTCGGTTCCCGTCTGAAAAGATTCCAGAAAGCCGCTTATTTATGTATCACATTTTCCATCCATTTTCCAATACCCATTAATCTCTCTTTCTCTCTCTTTCTCTCTCTTCCACCCATTTTCCAATACCCATTCAGCTCTCTCTCTCTCTCTCTCTCTCTCTCTCTCATTGACCTTCCAGTCGACTGTAACCTCATTCTACACCAAAAAAGGATCTGAAGTTGCTGAACAAGAATATCAGCGAAGGAATTTAGAGAGAAATGAAAGGCAGTGGGGTTATCGTCGAAGATGGATTCGTATACGAAAAGGAAACCCATCTCACCGTCATGAAAACGTCCCTTTTCTTCGCCGGCGATGGCTTCACCGTTTACGACACCAACGGTCAAATCGTCTTCCGAGTCGATTCGTACGGTCCAGACACTTACGACGCCGGCGAACTCGTCCTCATGGATCCCTCCGGCCGTTGCSTCCTCACCGTCCGCCGCAAGGTTCGTCCATTCATTCACTTTCAATCTTTTAATTAGACCATGTTTAATAATAGCAGCTTTAATGAGCTTAATTGCACTCGCAGGTTATTAGGTCACCTATACATGATTTTTTTTTTTATAATAGCTTAATAATATATAAAGCGGCTTATTCATTAAGTCTTGTATGGACAAAGGTATCTGTAAAGATTAATCTGTTTATATGGATCGAGAAGATTTTTATATGGAGTTCCTTCGTTAAGATGCATGGTTTTTATGATGGAGGAATATGTCTGGAAAAAAACTTGATTTTCTGTATAAGTTTTCTCGTAGAAGCTTATTGAATAAGTCTCTTTTTATATCATTAATCCCTGCCAAAAAGTCATGTATAGCTGGTTGGTTTTATATAAAATAATGGGTTCATTCCGTATGAGTCCAAATTTTCGTTACAGGTAAAGCTCGTTTTCATTCTCATTTCCATTCTTCTGCTTGAATCAAACACCATACAGATAGCTTTTATCATACAAGACTTAATGGAAAACCAACCAAACAGCATGTATTAGCTTCCTTCGATTGGAATCGAGATTTATAATAATTGCTTGATTGATTAACAGCGGCCGAGTTTACATCAACGATGGGAAGGGTTTCTCGGTGAACGGATCGAAGGTGAGAATTCGAAGCCGATATTCAGTGTGAGAAGATCGTCGATCATAGGGCGGTCGAACATGACGGTAGAGCTGTTTGGTGATCGGACGGAGGAGTATCTCATCGAAGGCTGTTTCGGTTCCCGGAACTGCACGATATACGATTCCGGGAAGGAAAGAATGGCGGAGATACGACGGAAAGTGGATGCGACAACGAATGTGATGCTTGGGAAGGACGTGTTCTCGTTGATATTGAAGGCAGGGTTCGATGGTGCATTCGCCATGGGATTGGTTTTGGTTCTTGATCAGATTAATGGAGATGATGAAGAAGACCCTGCAACAGAAGAAGATTGCAATTTGTCTTCTTGAGATTTTATTTTATATATTTCTTATTATATATATATTATATAATTATGGAAATAATAAAATTTGAATTTTTCTCTGGTTTCAAGAAATGCCACCTCATTAAATTAAATATCAATAACATGGATGGGGTCACCAACGAGCGGGTGAACCTTATCTTTTCTATCATTTAACTGATCATAAATTTTTATTTTATTTATTTTAATTAATTATTTTTTATTATAGACTGTAGAAGATATTAATTATGAATATTATTATATTAATTTTAAAAAAAATACATAAAACAGTTTCATTAAAACTTTATAAGTGTTATATAAAATAATTTTATAATCATATATGAAATAACTTTATTAAAAAAATATTGTATGAAATAATTTTATAAAAAAAATTCATAAAATTAAATAAAAGGGAGATGCAAGAGTAATCTTAATATGTACAATAACTACAACTCAATATGAACCGTCCATTTAATTTGATGAATATGTCATTTCATAATTAATGAACCATGAGTATCTTTCATAAATATTCAAATTATAATAAATGAACTATCATCAGTTTTATAAATATCTTAATTTATTGGGTTGCATTGGTTGTATTTGAAATATACTTTATATATATATATATATATATATA